ATATATAATTATATATATAAGAAGAGTCAAAAGGAACATTTAACCAGATATCTTAACTAAATAGTCTACCTTGGCCATTAGCGTGAAAATATCAGCTGGGCTAGTGCTAGGTGCTGCAGCCCATTTTTTTCGATATCCAATTACTCTGTACCACATTCCAGTGCACTTACCAGATGCAATCACTGTCGGAGAGCCAATTCCTGAGTAAATACTAACATAACTGATTCTTCCTGTCCCTGAAGGATAACTTTGTGTAAAATATATACGGTTGTTTATGCTGTCAAAATCCAGGGCCACTGCAGTTCTTAACACATTGATTGTGCGGAAGGGAGGACTGTGATTTTGAGGATCTAGGTGGATACTTCTGAGGGCATTCTCAAGAGTAAAAATCAGGTAATCATCAGTCGAAATGGAACATCTCTTGCCATCACTGCCTAGTGTGCCAAAGGCACAACCACATTTGGGTGTCTGTATGTCAGGCAGGGCAAAACACAGATGAGAACAGCCTCCGTTATTGTCCAAACAAGGATTGTTGTTGACATCAAGGGGTGAACGTGACTGGAAGTGACTGTTGTAAATGGTAACATCCCTTAACCAGTTAATGTTGTCTCGTATTACTGTTGGCTGATCAGTATTGCCTGGCTCCTTGCTGGCTTGGAAGACTTTTTTCAGGTTTCGATCCACCCAGATCATAGAATTTCCAAAGATAGTGATACCATATGGAGTTGGATAGCGACTGCCATAACGCACAATTTCAACATCACCACCATCAGGCTGAATTCTTGCAATCATGTCTAAGGAATCATCCACCCAGTAAATGTAGCCATTGCTGTGATCTATGGCCAACCCACGAGGTGTGACAATGCCCTCAGACACAAGAACTGTTCTGTTGGTGCAGTCAAGAAATGCACGTTCAATCTTCGGATTTTGCCCATAATCTGCCCAGAACAGGTATCTGTTTTTTGGGTCGACTACTATGTGCCTTGGCATATCTATAGTAGTTTTAAGCAGAACACGTCGATAAGTTGTGTTTAAACGTAAAATTTCGATAAAAGTCTCTGTCAGGAATGCATTTGTAAAATAAAGGTTTCCTGTATTTGAAGGAAAAAAAAAAAAAGAAAGAAAAAAACCCCAGAAAGTTAATATATAGCATCAACACCTGAGAAGCATGTGTTGATAAAATACAAAACCATAAAATGAATATCCATAAACACTGTAGCAGTTGGAAGCATAAGGTACTTACCTACACTTTGAGGAATTAGAAAGAAGACACCCAAACTGATGGGTGTTTTAACAGTCAATTGATTTCTAAATCCTCACTGATTGCCACAGGAAGATCAGTAGTGTCAGATTAAAAGTGCATTAACTATAGTTGTTCCTTAGGTATACTTGGATTTTTTTAACCTACGCCTTTGGCTTGCCTTTCCATACTTTTATCTGTTTACTTTTTAGAACACACAACTATGAGATCAACATTTTGGCACAGCACTATATACAGTAACTAAATTAAGAGTATACAGCAGAAGATTATTCTAAACCTCATTACAACAAGGCTATCAACAGAAAATTTTTGCAAAACATATATATAGTACATATAGTATAAATTAAAGGTATTAATGGCAATGGTCTTAGAGCTGATGAACAATTTCTGAAGAGTTAATATTTGAATTAATCTCTAACATGCTTAAATTGGAACAGGAAGCACAAGTGGGAAAATAAAATTTCAAAGACAAAGTATTTCTGCTTTCTTTACTTTCCATTAGAATTTATAGGATTTGTACACAGCATCTACACCTGAGGGTGGATGAACAGCCTTCATTTCTTATTAACAATGTCACCAGACAACTTTTGTACCTTCTTCTCAGGTACATGTTTTTCACTGTGGTAGTCAAGTATAGAAATAAACTGGACAACAGCTACGTAGGAACTCACAGGCAGAAAGAGAGACCTAAGACAAATATGAATGCATCATGAGAGAAAAGTTTCTGTATGTTTCCTCTGACAAACTTCCAGTTTTTACACATATCTATCTATAAGAGCCATTCACTACTTTCTCTTGTTTTAAAATCAGTCTGTAGACACACAAGTTAGACTCAGGACTCCCATTCAAAATAGTTCCATTAGGATCTGTTTATCTAAGTCTAAAAATTTCACAATCTGTAAAGAATAACATGCTGATAAATTCATCTATGCTTACCTGCTACCCAGTCGATTGCAATGCCACGGATCCCATTTCGTCCTATGCCATTTGTAACAACATTTCTAAAATAAGAACCATCAGGTTTAATTTTACGTATTGCATTCTGAGAAGAAATTGTGCTACTGAAGTCACACCAGTAAATGAAACCAGAAGGCATGTGAACATCCACGTGAAGTGCATTTCGTCCTGAAATATTTTGAAAAGTAATAACTGATTACCTTTGATATACACTAACTTATTTAAAACATGTGCTATGCCAGCAAGAAACGCCAAAGATTAGGAATCATAAATTTTTTTCATACTATAAGATTCACATACCTCTTCCTGCCAGTGGTACCATGGCTTCAGAATGATCAGACGTCTCTAAACTAAATCCTTTAATTGCAGAAAGCATAGAAACAACTATAAATGAACTGTACGGGGAACAAGTTCTGTTATCAGGATTTAGCTGAAAGCCAGTAGCACAGGCACAGGAGAATAATCCACCAGGTACAGGTAGGCAAAGCTGCTGGCAAACTCCAATATTGTTACTGCAGCCATTTGAGGAACCAGCAGAATCTGTGAAAGACACACATGGCAAGACGTAAAAATCTGAACTTTATCATCACAAACTCTCACGGATATATAACCAAATTCATATCTTTGCATAGTATTAACAACCAGCTGGCAAAAATAAAGAACTTCATCACTGTATGTTTTAGCACATAAGTGTTAGCAATGGATTTGCTAGTTTCTTGACATCTAAGATAAACTGGGCCAAGAAGAAGATAAAATGGATGTATAAATTTCAAGCTAAAATAACAAAATTTGTTATTTAGTCAATATTGCATTGATAATATTTTAGTAAATTTCTAGGCCAATAGATGCCTTAATGGGACGGTGAAGCATCCCTTTACCAAAATCAGGTAAAATTCCACACTTTTCCTGAAAGCCCAACCAAACAATTTCCTTTAAAAGAGCATGCATTTTGTCTCTGAGCGAGGTTTTGAGTTTTTACAAGTTGAATATCCTGGAATACCCCTTTAGCAAATACTCACTGTCTCTGTAATACACACGCAGGCACTTCAGTCTTGGGACATTATCTCTCAGTACTACTTTGTTCGCTCCAGTGGACTTGTCAACTCGTTCAATAACTTCATAATCGCGATCAGTATAGTACAGAAAGGTATCATACACAGCAATTCCCCATGGATGAGAAAGATGAACCACCAGAGTCACACGATTTGTACCATCCACATTGCCTTTCTCAATCTAAGAAATCAGTTTAAAGCTTAATATTACATTTCTTACAATAAAAGTTCAATGTTACAATAGAAAATTAAAATGCAACATATGCTACTAAAATCTTTTCAGGTATGAAATCTTTATGTACATGGTAGAAAGGAAAGGGTCAGCAGGATGCCAACAATTCCTGTTTTTTCATTCAGTTTTAAAATTTGAAATACCATTTGAACTACCATTTTAAATGGTAGTTAGTAACAACAGTTACTCAGATTTTGCTCACTCCTGCAACCCCCAATTAGATGATAAACTAAAGTAACTGAATTATATACGGGTACCACAATAGCAGAGATAGATGAACAGGTAAAAAAGCAATTATTTATAAAATATCTCCTACCATTCCTGTGCTTGTAACAGCCCAGTACAACTTTTGTTCCTTAATATCAATGGTAATGAACTCTACATGGTCAAGGTTGCCAGTGAAGAGGGTTTGTATGCCTGATCCATCCATGTTTGCACTGGCAATCTTTGCTGGGATTCCACTGTCAGTTCCCTGGTCTGTCCAGTACAGCTTCCTGTAACACACATTATCACATCTGTTAGCAAAGCTAATAAGAGACCAGTGGACCACCTCAGCATATGCTTAAATCCATCTCCTTCATCAGCCAAGTACTTAAGCACATCTGAACAGAGATCGCTTTGAAGCAGGCCACAGTGAAAAAGAGACTTTGTTTGAAAAAAGAGAGAAATAAAAGAGAAATGTCTTGAAAAAGAGAACAATGCCTGTTCAATCATTTTTAGAAATCCACAACCTCTGCTGTATTATCCCACAATACCATCAGCAGGAAAATTCAAGTAGAGCACTAGGACTATAACAAGAAAGCAGAAGATTAATAGTTCTGTTTCCCAGATAGCTGAGCGGTTTCAGTAGTGAGTTAAGTTCCAATTTGGAAATAAAACTACAAGTTCAGAAAAATCTATATGAATTCCGTTATGTGGCTCTGGGGAATACTCGCGCTGCTCTGGCCTCAGATGCTGAAGAACACCTAAGGTACATGGCAGCCAGACTCCCAACCAGGGATAGAACATCTTCAATTCAATTCATCTGAAAGCCTGCCAAGTCACCAATGGAACTATCTCATTACTAATATGGTCCTGTGGAACAGCATGATTTTTTCGGGGGGGAAAAAAGCATCATATTGCAATTTTAAGTACTCTGGTGGAAAAATAAACAAATTGCAGCTAATTTTGCTGCAATTTGGAGAATGCAGTATAAGTGCTCTGCTCTTTAGCAAGTGACATTCTTCCCATGTAGTGTGCCTTTCTACTATAGAAAGGCATCAAGATAGACACCACAAGATACAATAAAGACAGACTTCAAAGTTCTCTTTACTCTGGGCTCCCATTTTTCACAGATTTTTTTTCACAGTCATAATATTCTGAGATACTTTAATTAAAGAAATTGCTATATAAGTATGTAGTAAATTAAGGGGAATTAACATCTATGCAACAATTCAGGAAGCCATGCAATTATTTTCTAGGGCTTAAAAAGAATAAATAAATTCTGCAGAAATATAAATAAAAGCAAACAAACAAAACAAAAAACAACCAAACAAAACCAGAAATCCTTCACTATGAGGGTGGTGAGGCACTTGAACAGGTTGCCCAGAGAAGTTGTGGCTGCCCCATTCCTCAAGTGTCCAAAGATGCAGCCTTGAGCAACGTGGTCTAGTGGAATGCGTCCCTGCCCATAGCAGGGGTGTTGGAGCTAGATGATCTTTAAGGTCCCTTCCAACCCAAACCATTCTGTGATTCTATGAAATTCAGGATGGAAGCTGAAGACCTTAAAAATTCAGAAAAATGCAAAAACAACAGCAATTTTGGAAATTTACCCTCTTGCTGGATCAACTGTCAAACCAATCGGCGTGCCAGCTCCCAGAGAGGTGCCATCATTGGTAATCAGTGTTTTCCTGTACATTACATCTCCATGCAGCTTCAGGACCTATGCAAACATTGAACTCATCAGAGCATGTAATACAGAACTTATAATAGATTTCAAATTAAAGGAAGAAAGCGTAAATCCGTAGGGAGGTGAAACTGCAGAATAGTCTCTCAAATACTATGAAGAAAAAGCACATTGTTCTGTACTCTGCCCACCTCCCTTCTCTAACATGCATCTCCTGAAAGAGCTGCTTGTGGCCTGAAACCCACCTGTGTTAACAAGCAAGCATTCTTAGTATACAAATACTTAATCCTTCAGCTTCCATAATATCTTGTAAGTATTACAGGCTGAATGGGTTGATGAAATGACGATTTAGAAAGTATTCAATTTTATTTGGTTAAATTAGCTGCCTTTTAATTTAATAGTATGTATTTATATTTTGGGATTAATGACTCTGCTTATTCACACTCATTACTGTATTATATATTGCTTATCCTCTATTTCCCTTACACTAAATGGCAATTTTATCCTTCACATACCAGCACACTCCTAGTCTCCAGAAAGCTAAATAATATCATATCAAAACTCTTGGGGGTGGATCTTGGCTTTCACTGCATTTGGTGGCAAAATTCCTTTACTATCAGATGCACTGCACTGGGATTATTGATTTGAAGCAAGAAGAGTAATAATAATAGTAACTCTCGTGATCAGAAAGGTTTAGTGTCAAATACCAGAACCTTAATGATTGAATGACTGGGGGGAAGGAGGGATATCTAAGCACAAATAAAGTTCCCAGAATACACTGCTTTCAATCTTTTTGACTTCGCTCAAATTTAGGTTTCTCTGTTCAAGTTTGTAAAGTAGTTTTCTACAGTTTGCATTTTAAAATTAATCTAATTTCAGTTTTTCACAAAACAAAGCAAAATTACTGATTTCAACCTGTACACCTAGCAGTGAAAATTCTAAGCTCTTACTTTCCAATTGCCCTTCTTAAACAATTACCTCAAGTGACTGAGTCGCTGGGTTACTGTAATACAGGTTTGCGGATATCCAGTCCAATGCTAGACCTATAGGAGCACCAATAACAGCTGCTGGAGCAAAAACTGTTCTGTTGGATCCATCTGACCTCACTCTGTGAATTTCACCCTTGGAAAAAAGATCACAAAAGTGAAAAAAATGTCAAGAGCAGAAAACAGTGTTCTATTCCAGCTACATAAGTTTATGACTTGCAAATTTTATGGTACTAGCTACAGTGTGTGGTGCTAACGCGTGATATAAACAAGCATGCAGACATGTTGACCATGTCCTGAGAAGATCTGGCTCTGTGGTGCAGGCTCCCAGACAAGGTAGCACTTGGACCAACCACCCCAGTTCTTCACTGAGGCAACATGTGCAGTAGGTCTGCTCTGCTCTGGCACTTTTCTGGAAAGACAGAGGGGCACTGCCATCTTGAAGGGACAGAACATACAGCACACCATTACAGCCTGCACATTGCATCACTTGAAGACAGAGGCTGTGCAGCTAACACTAGCCCAGTCCAGGAAGGAGGAGTTAAAGGCAGCGGTAGACCAGTCCCAGGCAGTAAAAAATTAGAGAACAGGTCGCAGTTGTCATCTCAGAGCAGAAACAAGTTAGAATCAGCTTTAGGAAAAGCATCTAGTGATGATTTAGTCCATGTATATTCCTAATTGCTTTGTTACCATGGTATCAGTATACTGTCTGAATATATCAGTATAGAATTGAAAATGATGCTTCAGAAAGGAACCAACATATCAGACAGCAAAAAACTGAACAAGAACTCCAGGCCGAATTAATGGCTGGCTTAAATACGTAGAAGTTCTAGACATCAGTAGCATCCTGCTTGCTGAATCCTAATAACGTAGTGCTGTTTGCAACTTAACCTGTCCTAGAATACTTAGGCCTACAGAAAAAAGTAGGGAAGTAGAATAACTTTTGGTACTATAAAAATCCTACTTTGAGAGCCTGATGGATATTGAATATTTACAACAGGTCTACTATGACAGACATTTTAAAGACGGTGAGAAATTATCCTACCTATTATTGGCATTTACAATTAATAACCTATGGAACATGACAGCTGAAGATAAAAATACTCCAGAAGTGGTTTTCAAGTAGAACAGCAAATTGTCATGTTTATCTTTGTTTCCTGAGTTTGCTTCAGACAGGGTGAAGAAGTTGATGGATGTTCACCTGAGCTCTAACTACAGCTTCAACTGTTGCATAGTTTTAGCTGTGATTTCTCTGCCAGTATTGTGAAGTGTAGACAAACCCCAGGAAAACCCAAACTTGCAATGGATGGAAACAAAAAGGGGTACTAAGGAAGAAGCCTTGTGGTAATGGACAATCGCTACAATTAAGAAAGTAGGCAAACATGTTTCTGACATTAGAAACTAGAGAAAGGCCTGTTGTCCAGAGATCGAGCCATGACTGACACAGGCGTGTCAGCTCTGTGAGCAACAGCAGCTTGAGGCCTGTAGGTCAGAAGTACAGAACGCGGGACAGCCCATAGTCATGCATTTTTCAGGCTGAAGCTCAAGACCTAACCAAAACCTAACCCCCATTCAGCCAGCAGAGACACCTGGCATTTCACTTGCCAGCTCTGTTAATGGATGTATGAGCCCAAGACCTCCTACAGAACTGCTCAACCTCTTGTAAATGTCAGCTGTATCTGCTGGCTGAGATCTGTCATGAACATTTTTTCAGACTGCTTGAAAGATCAAACAGATTCCTGAGAATTTATCTAGTTCCTTGGGCAAAGGTTTGCTTAAAAAGGTCTATTTAAATACTTCATGGAAATTAACCATTCTAATATTCAAAGAACAAATAATAAATTATAATTCCTCTACGAGTCTCACAGAAAAGGCTTTAGAGTGAGTGGTGCCTTCAAACTTGAAAACTTTAAAGGAAACAGGCTGGGATAAAAAAAACAAAAACAAAAACAAAAAAAAAAAACTTGTATGGGTGAAAGGCAACAAGTTAGTATGAATTGTTTCTGTAAAACATAACTGTTCATGTCTCTGGCTGAGCTAGAAATACCATTAATCAAGTATTTCAGCTGACAAAGATGAAAACTAGTTTACAAAAGAGATTAAGCTTCTTTACCAAAACACAATCAAACAAACAACAACAAAACAAACAAAACTCCCACATTTCATTCTTTGCAATTATACGCATCAAAATTCTTAACTGCAATTCTAATATATTTCAGTCAAAAACTTTAATTTAAAATAAGGAGTCTTATTTCAGTGCATATTTGAACACAAATACTAACTTACCGGATTTTCAACCCAATAAATCATCTGTTCAGAGTCATCAAAGTCAACATCAACACCATTTTGAACTCCTGCTATTGGAACCATTGCATCGTTCATCTTCTCCTCAGGGTTCAGAGAAATTCCATAAATTATATTATCTCTTACAGCAATAAGGAAAGGGTGTTCAACTGTGAAAACAGATAATGTAGTCCAGAGTTGTTTCTGACCAAAAAAATGGCATTGCAATATGCTTCCTATCTGCCACCCAAAAGTTCTGTAATGCTCAGAATGGCTGAATATTGCCAGTGACGTTTTGGAACCACTTACCTACAAATTGTGCCCACACTAGGAGTGCGGTTATTAGTTACTGTAATTGTTTCAACATTTAAAGTTTCAGCACTGTGCAATCACAATGCATGTGCAAGCAAATTCTGAGAAGGAAGAAGTAAATAAGGCAGGATCACTTATTGCTGACCAATCTCTGAGAATGGGAATCAGCAGGACAAAGCTCTGAGGCTCTCCAGGACATGCCTGAGATGGGTTCTAATGCCTACTTAGCAGGACTCACAAGCAAGGTACAATGTCACAGCAGCAATTACTGATCTTTATTATATTGTAAGTATTTGAGGCCAGGTTGGATAATAGGGTTGTTGGATAATGGGATTTTGAACAACCTGGTCTGGTGGAAGGTGTCCCTGCCCATGGCATGGGGGGTGGAACAAGATCTTTAAGGTCCCTTCCAACCCAAACCATTCTATGATTCTATGATTAAATATAATTGCAGTATTGTGTTTTCTTGTTTTACCCCTAAGGGAGCAGGTACACTCCCTTACAGTATATTTACTTTTAGGTAAACATATCCTCATGCTTAAATCTTATTAACAAAAGGGCATCTAGTCAGGTAATCTGAGAAAATACATTGAAGAGCTAGAGAGTGTGAGTCAGCAACTTCATTTCTCATCTGCCAGGGTGAAGAGGGAGAGAATCTCCTGATTCTAACCTCTTCTCTCCATAGGCACAAGCTACCACTTAATGGGGAACCGGGCTGCTACTGCATAGAAGGTAGCAGTAACCCATTTCCTCTTCTATAATAGATGAAAGACTTCTGTTTTGGTTTGGGGTGGAAGGGGGTGGCGGTTAATTATTATTTATTATTATTTTCTTCACTGGCTGCTTAATACATATATAAATTTTGCAGTAAAATATTTGACAGTAAAAACCACAAGCCAACACATCATTGCACTTCTCAAAAATTATTCTCCCTACTTCTCTCTTGCAGCTGGAACTATTCATCAAATTTGACATAAATTTAGATATTGTTTGTCTCAGCAGAAAAATCACATTTGGGCCAATAATTGCCTGAAGACATATAGCTAGCTCTGTCTGTGAAATTCTTGTACTTCTTCCATTCCCTCCCCGAAGAATGTGGCACACCAGTGTTCTTGTACAGAACATTTGCAGCGAACAGCTGAATTCATGTGAAATAGTTCAAATGCATACGAGACCCTGGAGTCATTATTCCCTTTCTAATTGTACACACTACAACACTACTGAACCCAGCTGAGATACAGATACGTGAATTCTCTAGGCTACACTGTTTGTACTTTACAAGGTTGATAGTCTCATTTAAAGCAATTATATTCTACATAAAATTTTTTGCTGATTGCTTCAAATTTACCACCTACACAAATCTATACAGTCTGAGTATTCCTCATTTGTATAATGGAGAACAGAGCAACTTTGCTGAGCTATACAGATCTAAAAATCTGTGTAGCTTCAACAGAGAGACATTAATAGAACTTCTGCAGTCTTTAAACTTAATACACGTTTTACATGAAAAATTATGATCCATATAAAATTCATGTATCATTATATTAAATATGGAAATTTGCCATATTAATACCAGATTTTAACATACACAAAATCTTTGCTTTGTTTCCAAGCCAGCTTGATACATTCACCATCTTTAATGTCAACCTGAAATGCAGCTTAAAGTGAAATACATGCAAAGGCAATCTTATTAGCATTCTTACATAAAGCTAGAAATGGTGCAATCCTAGAAGTAAGTCTTTCCATCAACCTGAAGTTAGCAGCATTTAATATGCAAACTCAGTAGGGCAGAGACCAGCAATACCATTGTTATGTAAAGACACTGGGCAACCATATGGATGGAGCTCACTTTAATTTTCTTTCTGAAAGGTTGTGCTGGCCTTTTAAAGTAAACAATGACAGCAAAGGGTAATAGTAAATACTAGAAATGGCAAATGCCTAATCCTTTGTAATCATTAGCAGTAATTAGAAGCTTTTACCATGAAAGGAACCAGCATACGTTTTATAACATTTTCTTATGTGCTGACCTTCAGCAAGTACATTTTTTTTTAAAAATCAAAAAATCTGTAGCTGTTTTTTAGATACTGTTTTAAATGTATAAATTCCATCCAAAAAGAAAACGGTAATCCCACATAGTATAAAAGAACTGTGCTTCACAGAAGGATATTTCTATTTCTCTTACACAATTTATAGTGAGCATTTATGTAATTTATAAAAGGGCCACAACTGTACTTAAATAGACACAGGGAACTTTGCAACATGTGGGAAATCAAGATAAAAATTGTCAATAGTTAAATTCAGCAGCAGAACTGGGTCCAACTCTATACATGCATGTGCTTCATCACTGCCATGTTTCTTTCATGATACCCCTATAAGCCTGCACATACTAAAACCAGTACAGATTTCTAAAGTGAACCCTCTTTTATATAGATCAAAGAAATTTTCATTGATTTTCAGATTATATAAATGGTAATTCTCTTACTGCTGGTGTGAAAAAATGTGAATGCAATATACCTCTTTAAAGAACACACTGCTAAATATCAATCAGAAAAGCAGCATCATATGACTTTTAAAATTTAGATAGTTTAAAAAGAAAGGATCTTTTGACTGACAGATTTCTAGTGTTAGCTCATCCCAAAGATACTCTCTACTTAAATTTCAGTGATTTGAAGCTTCATTATCAGAGAGGCATCAAAGCATACTTTACATCTGATGGATGTATTTTCCACTGATGGAAAATTAATAATCAATGCTTTATCTGACAAAGTAAATCTGGTCAATTTTCACAAACAGCCTACCAATACTTCTAATTTTTGTGACTTTTAATCAGTTGGTTAAATGAGTTTTACAAACCAAGCAGTACTTTTTGATACAAAGTTTTATTTGCAAAGGCTAGCTCTGTTACACCTGCACCACCTGTAGCATCTGTATTTTTAGTCTGTTTCTAGACCTCTCATATTTGACATCTGTAATTTTCTCCACAACAGAACATATACCAGGGCTGAAGGAGAGCTACTGATGCTATTTATCCTGAAGGACAAAAGTGGTGTAAGAAATGGGCATAAACTGGGGAAAGACTATATTTGAACAGAAAACCAGAAGGTTTCCAAATATCAAAACCATGAGGTCCAGTGAGTTTTAGGGGCAAGAAACCAAATTAATCTTAAACTGGAGCTCAGCTGGTGAAAGATGACATGATATGGTAGTCAAGGACAAAAAAGAAACAGACTTGAGTGACCAAGAAAGTCCCTTCTAGTCCTGTATCCCAGCATTCTTACAACTGCAAGTCTTAGAAACAGGTATCCAGGCTGAATATTTATAATAAAAACAACATTCTGCCAGAATATGTTTTTATTTTTAATTGATACTAAACTCCTTCTAGATGTATTCCAACAGCAAAACATTCAATGTGTTAAGAAATTTTAAACTGTAGCTTCTTTAAAACACTTCAAAGTGCTAAAAAAACACCTGAATCTCTGATTTCTTTCCAGAACCTGGCTCCAAACCTTTAGGCCAAGTACATTCCATTTGTCCTACTGCCTAGAATGGCCCCAAACTTTGATTTCATGAGCAACAGCCCACAGACTTGAAGTATGCTTTTTGCCTGACAGAGGGATGGATTTGACAGTGTCAGATCTTTTTTTTTATCTCTTGTTATTACTGCCCTACCTTTCATGCAATTCCTGTTATCAGGAGAAAGCATCCATCCTGAAGGACAAGCACAGGAAAAAAAAAGGGGTCCAGATGAAGAAAGCAAGCAGAGGTGGCTACAGGGGGACGCTGCACAAGAATTGATACCTGAAAAGAAAAAAAGAAAGTATTAGTAATTGTAACAATATGAGCGACTAGAAGGAATATTCAATCTCATTGCTACTGATAATACTAACCCAGCACTAAATCAATTTTGCTATTTCCTTAAGATTAAAAACCTAAGTTATTTCCCAGAACCACAAGTAACACAATACACTTGTAACAGGAGATCATTTTTTCATCTGAAACCAGTACCATTGTCACAGTGGTCTTTTCAATTTATTCTTTTTTTGCATCATAGAAAACCTTTCAGGCTCCCTTTCAAACTCTTAACTGCACCAGGATTTTCAGGTTTTGATCATTATAACCCTTCTAGATGAGGGATTTAAATTATTTACTGAAGCTTCTCCGAGAAAAATAAAACCATAAAAACAGTTGCCTGTTCAAAGGTAGTGGGAGTTCAAATACTTCATTTCTTGGATCACTTTGAAGGTCACTACTGACTGCTGTTACTACTATACACTAAATATACAACCATTTTGATCACTTCCACAAAACTGCTGCTAAAGAGGATTTTTCAGGATGCGCAATCTTCATAGGAAAATTAAAATCAGTTCTTGAGTATGTCCTTAGCTATTGCAGCAGGTCTTATTTTAAGAAACTTGGAAATGACACAATTGTTCTTAATATAAAAACTAACAAGAAATGAAATCAAATTAACAAGATGACAATAAAACAACGGCATAAACAAACTGTAAGAGAACTATTCATCTCATCTATATAACAAACCTAAACTCCAGCTGGTATAAGATCTAATGATTACAGAAAAGGAGAGTGGGTAACGGTTTTAATACTGCCTCTGGAATTTCAACCCACAAATAATTAGCATATTCTGTTATTTTGCAAGTGCTTTCTCTTCTCCTTCTTTGTCTGGCCACATGAAGTACAATTGATCAACTGTAAATGAAAAATCATAAAATGTACTTATTTAATACAATGAAGAAAAATAAGCAATCTTCTCCACCAGTGGTAGAAAGTTTTTTATACCTTGGGTTGTAAAATAAAACCTCTTAAATCAGAACTATTATGTATAAATTAATGGTACCCT